CTGTCTAAGGCAGTGATGGCGAACCTATGACACGCTTGTCAGAGGTGACACGCGAACTCATTTTTTTTGGTTGATTTTTCTTTGTTAAATGGCATTTAAATATATAAAATAAATATCAAAAATATAAGTCTTTGTTTTACTATGGTTGCAAATATCAAAAAATTTCTATATGTGACACGGCACCAGAGTTAAGTTAGGGTTTTTCAAAATGCTGACACGCCAAGCTCAAAAGGTTCGCCATCACTGGGTTAGGGTCTGCTTTTTCTCACTATAAGTTTTTCCAAACTACCTGATTTTTTTCACTCACATGTGTTTTGGTAAAAACAAAATAAAACAGAATGAGGTCATTACTGACTATGAAAAATATAGACTGGAAAATGGAGCCATTTTTTGCATTAAAAGTATGACATTTACAAATGATTTAAAAAGGAGAGCAGATTCCAGTTTCTACAGTAATTTCACACTCACTCCTTGACATCCCAGGGTGCTTTCCTGAGTGAACAGGCAGCATGCTGCAGCCTAATTTACACATGCTCTAGCTGATGCAAATAACACTCATCATGCAAATAAGACTGGACAAAAAGATGAAATCTGCTGTTCTCTTGTAAAACATTGTCAGTCATATTACATTTACAACTCTTCTGTGAGTATTGTTGTTGCCTTTGGAGTGGCATTATTTGATTTGAACAGAGGCACAATGGAATGACAACTGGAGAGTCCCACAGGTAATGTATAATCAGAGGCTGAAAAAAGCCCAGAGAAAGTCTTAATATTTAAGGTTTGTTGCAAGGCCCATGGTAATTAGATGAAATATATATTTTCTAAGCTTACCTTATCAAGACTCCCTCCGTATACTTCATCTGTGCTGACATAAATAAATTTCTCCACTCTGGCTTCATGAGCAGCACTTACCAAAACGTGAGTGCCATAAACATTAACATATGTAAACTCAAAGGCACGTACAAATGAAAGATCTAAAGAAAAGAGAGAAAGCAAAAACAATTCCATCCAAGGGATAAAATTAATACCAAATGGTAGACTCAGGTTTAAGGAAAACTCTATTCACTTCTCTTCAGTCACTACAAATGCAATAGTTTTAAAAATAACATAAAACACATGACTATTATGATTTCTTTAAGCCTAAATTACATCGTACGTGTACATTCTTAGAGCCTAGAAAACCATCAGTGCTAGATTTGCAGGAAACTTAATTCCATAAGAAAAATAAATAAATAATACATCTAAATTTAAAATATTTTTAAATTTAAAAATTTTTTGAAATTTCATGTTGAAGGTAGAGGGCTGGGCTTTTCAGCTCAACATGTTATTGCTGAAAACAACAACTATTGGACCAATTATTTTATAATACATAAACTAGAGGCCCGGTGCACGAAATTTATGCACTTGGAGGGGATGGGGTCCCTCAGCCCAGATTGCAAGAGGGTGCAGACTAGGCCGAGGGACCCTAATGGTGCATGATCGGGGCCAGGGAGGGACATGGGAGGTTGGCCAGCCGGGGATGGACCGCAGGAGGGTTCCAGGGTGTGTCTGGCCCATCTCGCTCAATCCTGATCGGCCAGATCTCAGCAGCAAGCTAACCTACTGGTCGCAGCGTCTGCCCCCTGGTGGTCAGTGCACATCACAGCGAGCGGTTGAGCGGCCTTAGCCTATCATTAGCATATTACGCTTTGATTGGTTGAATGGCCAACCTGACGATCAGACACTTAGCATATTAGGCTTTTATTATATAGGATTCACTTTTAAATAATCAATTCTCTATAACCTGGGAATGAAGGGAGCTTTCCTAACTATGGCTCACAATACAGAAGCAAAAGAAATTGATAAATTTGACTACATAAAAATTTTTGCATGGTTAAAAAAACAACAACAGAAAAATCTACAAATTAAAAAGACAAATGACAAACTGGGAAAATATTTAAACTTATCAGAAATAAAGGGTTAATATATTCAATCTATAAAGAAGTTATAAAAAATAACAACCCTATGGTAAAATGGGGAAGAGACATAAATAGTTTGGACAATAAATACAAAGGTCCTGAAGCTTAAGATGCTCAACCTGATTAAGAAAAATCCAAATTAAAAACTCATAGAGCCCTAGCCAGTGTGGCTCAGCTGGTTGAGCACCATCCTGTGCACCGAAAGGTCGCCAGTTCAATTCCTGGTCAGGACACAGACTCAGGTTTCGGGTTCGATCCCCATTCAGGGAGTGTGCTGGAGGCAGCTGATTGATGTTTCTATCTCATATCAATGTTTCTCTCTCTCTCTCTTTCTCTTTCTCTCTCTAAAAACTCAATGCAAATATTATTTAAAAAATACAGTTTGAATGTCCATCTCCCCAAAAGTAATCACTATGCTGACTTTGGTTAAACTCATATTTTTAAGATAACATTCAAGGTTACATTTCAATCTACACTAAAAAAAAAAAGTGACCTAAAAAGCACCAATTACCTTGATGACAGAGTGACCCCTGGCTTGTTTTTCTAGTAGAGCATGGTATATACTTGCTCAAGGACACATACTAAGTACCTACTTGTTCCACCCCATTACTGGACTTTGATTTAGGCCAGTGATGGCGAACCTATGACACGCGTGTCAACTCATTTTTTTGGTTGATTTTTCTTTGTTAAATGGCATTTAAA